ACAGTAAGAATAAAACAAATATTAAGATCATAGTAATGAAAAAATAAAAGCAATAACAAACGACATGAAAATAATTATAGCAACATCACCATCAACAACAAACAAACAAAATAACACCAAAAAAACGCAACGAAACTTCACATACACGACTCGTACGACCCCACCATAACCCCCCCTTCCCCCCTTCACCTCTTCTCCCCCTCTTCTCCCCCAGGCGAGCCCGGCAAGGACTACCCCGTGCACGCCGTCATCCCCAACACGGGCTTCTCCTGCAGCGAGAGACTACCGGGCTTCTACGCCGACGAAGCCGCGAACTGCCAGGTCTTTGGGCTTTGTTGTTGCTTCCTTTGATTCGTTTTTTTTGTTTTGTTTTTTTGTTTTGTTTTTTCTGTGATGTTCGTTCGGTGTTTGTGTTTTTGTTAATTTTGATTGTTTTTTTTTGTGTGTCTTTAGTTTTGTTTTGTTTTGTATTTGTTTTTTTTCTGTGATGTTCGTTCGGTGTTTGTGTTTTTGTTAATTCTGATTTTTTGATGATTTTTTTTTAGATAATGGCGTCTAACAAAGCAATTGAAGATATTTACATTTTTCGATATGTACATGTAGACATATATGCATACACACACGCGCGCCCGTGCACACACACATACATACATACACACACACACACACATACACATATACACACACACATACATACATACATACATACATATATATATATATATATATATATATATATATATATATATATATATATATATATATATATGCCCACATGTATATACACAATAACTGTACACTTGTTAATGTGTGTCAGTGCATCCACGTCTCAACAAATATACATAATACAGCCAATACCAACACACCCACACGCCTCACAAGAGCATATATTATCACTATTCCCTACGGAAGAAGCATTCTCACAAAAAAAAAAAAAAAAAAAAAAAAAAAAAGCATATATATATATATATATATTATCACTATTCCCAACGAAAGAAGCATTCTGACTCCCTCTGGCACTGACGCAGGTGTGGCACTACTGCAAGACGGACGGCCTGGTGGAGTCCTTCCTGTGTCCCAACGGAACCATCTACAACCAGGAGAACCGAGTGTGTGAGTGGTGGTTCAACGTGCAGTGTGATGCCGCTGTGATCGCTGCCCAGGCTAAGGTGAGGTGGGAGAGGAGGAGGAGGAGGTGGTGGAAAGAGGAGGTTGAGGAGGGAGTGGAGGAGGGCGAGGAAAGGGGAGGAAGAGGAAGGAGGGGGGAAGGGGAGAGGGAGGAAGGAGGAGGAGGAGGAGGAGGAAGAGGGAAGGGAGGGGAGAGGGACAGGGAGGAAGAAAGGAGTGAGGGTGAAGAGGAGTGGAGGAGGAGGAGGAAAGGGGGAGGAAGAGGGAAGGAGGGGAGAGGGAAGGAGAGGGGGAGGAAAAAAGGAGGAGGAGGAGGAGGGAAGGAGGGCGAGGGGGAGGAAAGGAGGAGGAGGAGGGGAGGAAAGGAGGGAGTGAGGTAGTGGAAGAGGAGGAAAAAATGAGGAGGGGGAGGTGGTGGAAGAGGAGGAGGAGGTGGAAGAAAGGAGGGCGAGGGGGAGAAGGAGGAAGAAAAGAGGAGGAGAGGGGTGAAGGAGGGGAAGAAAGGGGGTGAGAGGTGGTGGAAGAGGGGAGGAAAGGAGGATGAGTGGAGAAGAGGAGGAGGAGGAAGAGGCAAGGAGAATGAGGAGTTGGTGGAGAAGGAGAAGGAGGGTGAGGAGGTAGTGGAAGAAGAGGAGGAAAGGAGGATGAGGAGGTGGTGGAAGAAAGTAGGAAGAGTAGGCGGATAGCGGTGGAGACGGAGTTTCTGGTGGAGAAATGAGGAGGGAAGGAGGATAACCTGATGGTGGAGGAGTAGGAGATGATGGTAGATGAGAAGAAGAAAAAGAAAGTAATGGAGGAACTGGTAATGATGGAGGAGGAGGTGGAAGTGGGAAAGAGGGAAGGAGAAAGTAGAAGTTGTGTTGGAGAGGAGATGGAAGGAGGGAAATAATGCAACCATACAATAAAAGAGAAGTATAAGTAGGGAAAGAGAAAGGAATGGAAAAAAAAACACTAGAGCTATAATATTAAAAATGTACAGGTAATAAAGATTAAGTAATATAGAGTAAGTAAGTAAGATATCAAAGCAATAGTCAACCACGTGACGGTAGAAATTCGGATACAAGATTGTGAATGAATATAAAAAGATGTGTTGCAGATATCTGAATGAAAACAAAGAAAAATGCGAAAACATTACAATCCGCTTTGGTAAAAAAAAAAAATGTGTATTATATATATATATATATATATATATATATATATATATATATATATATATATATATATATAAAATACTTTGTTTATCATAATACTGATGAATGATTCGATTTTAACAGGTAAATGAAGATCTGTACATTGTCCCACCACCAAAGGAAGAAAACGAATATTCTCCAGCAGCCCAGTACAAGCCAAAACCTCAGTACCAACCAGAACC